CTTATCTGATCTTATCTGATCTTATCTGATCTTATCTGATCTTATCTTCATGTTTAAGGCATGATTATCCTCAAACCTTAACAGTCACCTGTAGTGTCTCATGTTACATAAACTGGACTATTGATTTGTTCTTCTTTCAAATGTGATTTATTTATTTATTTATTTATTTGTAGTTTTCTTTTTTGAAAAGTGAATCAATTACACAGGGATTTGAAGAAAGGTCACTTTGCCTTTTATTATAAAATAAATCAATAGTCTAACATTCAAAACAATGTGCGTTTAAAGCAACAATGCTTGCAAAGCTGTAAAGTTTACAGGAGGGTCAATAAATAAATTATAGTATATGTTTTGTGTCCTCGTCTTCTAGTCTCAGTGGGCTCTACAGCAGTACAATGCTTTGTGTTAGCTTATAAGCAAATAATCCTAAATTATCCTCCTTTTTGATAAGTTAAATCACATTTTGTTTTCTAAATATTCATAATTAAAACATAAAACACACCGTCCTACATTTTTGTTCTATTTTTTTCTTCCAGCGCCTGGCTAACACCAAAGCCCACACATCCCGGTTTGTCACAGCCAATCTCCCTTGCAACAAATTCAAGAACCGACTGGTGAACATCATGCCCTATGAAACCACTCGCGTGTGCCTCCAGCCAATCAGAGGTCTGGAAGGCTCCGACTACATCAACTCCAGCTACATTGATGGATACAGGTATGCTGTTATCGCTCAAACACTAATCTGACCTGACCCTCCTGTCCGCTTTATCATGCTTTGATAAGGGACTGGATTGGAGAGCTTTTCTCCATCCGTCACGTCACGTCAGGTCTGTCATTGCTAACGAGCATTGTTCCCAAGATTTGTCTCACTGTGTGGCACTCGTCTCCATCCCTATAAAGAGGGGGACGGACGGCGAAGACTTCCTGATGAGTCAGCCTTTCATTGTGGTTTACACAAGTGTGGTGATTGTCCCTCTTCCTGCCTGAAGCCTGACCCCATTTTCAGGGTGATGCTCGGTGGACAAAAAAACGAGGAGGATGCAGAGACGAGGTGACTTCATAAAGTGTGTGTTTGTGTGTGTAGGCAACAGAGAGGATATATTGCTACCCAGGGTCCACTGGCAGAGACTACGGAGGACTTCTGGAGGATGCTCTGGGAACACAACTCCACCATCGTGGTCATGCTGACGAAGCTGAGAGAAATGGGGCGGGTATGGACCACAGGACTGCTCAATTAGAAACAGACCCTAAAACGATTATTCACAGAGTCTGGAAGCATTTATTTTTTATTTTTAACGCTAATTTTTCACTACAAGAAAGTGAATTTGCTCAGAATAAAATTGTCCTTCACATAATATAGAAATGCATGTGATTGTATAAAATAACAGTAATATATTATTACTTTTCTGCTCCCATATTTTTTCCACTTTAATTTTTATTAACATTTTCCAGCGTAGATAACATTTCAAATATATATATACATATATATATATATATGTATATATATATATATGTATACAGTTTGTGGATGGATGGATGGATGGATAGATAGATGAAAATAAAAATAAATTTCGATCTAGGGTCTAGAAATTCCTCTTTTAATAATTCTGAATTTCCTCATATCTCTTCTTGGGTGTCGTACTGTTTCCATTTTTCCCCATTTATTCATAAAAATGTCGTCTTTTAGTCTAAGAATGAAAATAATTTGCTCTGTCTCATAAGTTTCTCTAACCATATTCAGCCATAGTCGTATGGAGGGAGCTGATATCTGATTGCAGTTTCTTCTTGTAGCTTCTATGCATGCAATTAACAGTATCTTAAGTACATGTCTTTATTCAAAACACTTTTTTTTATGTTTCCATTATACATTGTCTTAAAATCTTTTGATAATGGGTATCTCAAAATAGTATGCATTGTAGTGTTCACATTTTGCCAAAACAAATCTAATTTTGACACTCCCAGAATATCGTTTGCTTCTTTATTTCCACACATTCTCCAACATGGGAGATGAGATCTGGTTTATTCTTTATCTTGGGTGTAATGAAGAACCTTGTGAGATTCCTCCACCCAAACTCTCTCCAAAGTCTGGAGTTTGTTGTCTCCTTCCATATTTTATGACATAACCTCATTCTTTTTGCATTAAAATCACATGGTGAATTCAAAATTTTCTTTGAAAAAAATGAAAAAAATTTTTTTTGTTTAACAAGTTTTATAAAAATAAAAAAAAAATACTGGAAAAAGTTGTTGCAGGACAATAAAACATTCAGATCTTTTGTAAGGTGCTTAAAATCTGCCTGTATGTCATTTAGGGAAAAAAAATACTTCCACCCTTTCGTTTGTTTACATGAGAGTAAAGAATTCATCTTGTGAAACAAAACCACTTCACACAGATTTAAAACTCACTTCAGCTGTCATCAGAGTACACTCAGAAAGCAATAAAGATTTTTATTGATTAAACTTTCTGTGATCAGAGCAAACATCTACATTTACCTTCTATTCACTGCACAGCCACGACTGTTTACATTTAAATGTGCCAGCAGATTTTAAAAAATCACAACCATGTTTCCTCTTTTTGCTGCTTTATCAGGAGAAGTGTCACCAGTACTGGCCCGCCGAGCGCTCCGCCAGGTATCAGTACTTTGTAGTGGACCCGATGGCCGAGTACAACATGCCTCAGTACATCCTCCGGGAGTTCAAAGTTACAGATGCCAGGGTGCGTTTATGTCTCCTACTCTTACTTCCAGACTTTGCACCATTCCACTCCTTGATTTTTCAGCCTCGGTGTTGTTGGGGGGGGGGGGGGGGGCAGTGACGCAAAGCATGTCGTATCGACCCGTCGTGTGTTGCACAGCGAGTGTTTTATATGCGAAAGTGTGTATCGCGGCAGATTCGCCTTATTGACAAGGTGCTGTAGGCTACTCATTCAACCCTGCTGCCTCCAGATTACCTTGGCAGCATGTGTGTGCGTGCGCATGTTTACTTGCGTGACCATGTGCCAGTCATAGATTACTCCAGTTAAGCCTGTCCTGCAGTTGACGCCACATCGACAGATGCTCTATTGATCTCCATTAAAGGGGAGTCAGAAAGGCTGAGCTGAAGAGAAAAGATGTAATTGCTTACTGAGTGGCTGACAGCAGCAGACGTCCTGACGTTACAGCTGCAAGTTAACCACAGCTAACTGATCCAGGGTCAGATAACAGTAACGATTAGAAGAAAGAAAATAAGGATATTGCCTGGCAGAGCCTCTCTCAGTCGATACAGCAAGAAGCTCTTATAATAGTCTTTTTGAAATAAACTCGGCTACATATTTTCAGCAAAAAAATTGTGTGATGAAATAAAAATAAATTAAAAAAACTGGCAGCTTTGTGTTTTTAAATTCAGCGTAGTGTGAAAGTGTTTCTGAGATATTTACGTGGTCGTGTTTCTGCCAATCCGCCCACCTCCGCAGGATGGCCAGTCGAGAACAGTGCGCCAGTTCCAGTTCACTGACTGGCCGGAGCAAGGCGTGCCCAAATCCGGGGAAGGCTTCATCGACTTCATCGGCCAAGTGCACAAAACCAAGGAGCAGTTCGGCCAGGACGGACCAATCACTGTTCACTGCAGGTGAACCTCTGCAGCTGCTCACAGAAACCAGTCACTGTTCAGAAGCGAGGCGTTCGATGTGACGTGTGGAGCGTGACGCTGTGTAAAGTGTAAACATGTTTTCCTTTTAGTGCTGGAGTTGGGCGGACAGGTGTCTTCATCACTCTGAGTATTGTCCTGGAGAGGATGCGTTACGAAGGAGCAGTGGACATCTTCCAAACAGTCAAAATGCTGCGCACACAGAGACCAGCCATGGTGCAGACTGAGGTGAACACTCTACTGACAAACCAGTCTCAAGTTTCCCTCAAAGATGCCAGACCTTCCTGTAATTACAGTATTTTCCGGCATATAAGTCGCAGTTTTTGCATTCATTTGTCAGTCCTGTGACTCATACGCTGAAGCGACTTATATATGTCTTTTTTTTTCCATATTCATAACGCAATTTTTGACTGATGCTTTAAATTTAGAAGAACTGCAACAGTGAGTTCTCCCGTGCGCGCTCGCTTCACTCAGCTGGTGCAGGCAGCGGAATGCTGGAGAGTTAGCAGCTCCGGCCGCGATGGATGGATGGATGGATGGATGGATGGATGGATGGATGGATGGATGGATGGATGGATGGATGGATGGATATGTGGC